AGTCACTATTAATAGCCTTCATCACAGATTCCATCGCGGTCACCGCTACACTTACAGTCACCATACGCGACCGTCAAGTCTCATCACAAGAAACGCTAGATAATATCCTCACCATTTCCACCACCATAAGCGGTTACAAACTTCCATTACATGCCACTATAAGCGGTCTACATCATATGTCCTAATAAGCGGTTATATGTACAATATCAACCACCATCACCGGTCATTATCACTACCTCGGCCATCCTAGGCGATCAGGTTCTATGTTGTAACAACCAAGGATACTATTAGTATATGCCCTATTGTATAACAAATTATTGTATAGCGTACTTGTCACCAACTACTGTTTTCGATCATTAGGCAACAATTGTCGTTATTTGAGGTCGCTACAATTTCCCGTCATCTTCTCAAAACGGTATCACTGTATCCAGTCTCCATAGACGTTGTAATGTTGCAGAAGGCTGGATATGATCTCGAATATTGTCACTTGCGAGCGATTATCAAAAACAATATACGCGATCACCAACACGTGATATTTAATTTCATTTTTCTTATTTTATCCTTCCATCTTTCTTCTTCTTTTTCTTCTTCTTCTTCTTCTTCTTCTTCTTCTTCTTCTTCTTCTTCTTCTTCTTCTTCTTCTTCTTCTTCTTCTTCTTCTTCTTCCTGTAGCTGTCGAGACCATACCTACACCGAATACGATCACCACACAGTCACTATCACATGCGAGCGGTCATCACGACGCCACAGCCACCACCACCGGAACCGTCATCGCGCATATTTCATCACCATACGCAGTGTCATCACACCAAAGCCGTCATCATCTGCGGCCGTCACCACATATTTCATCCCTTCTCAGAGGGCCAGAACCACATGTGGCCAAGATAACGAGCAATCGCCAGTGTGGTAGTTAGCGGTAACAGTCCACAAACCAAGACTCGAAGCGAAGGAGTATGGAATCAACTCCAAAACGTGATAAATTAAGTAAATAACGAATAAAAATTAGATATCTGTCATATTGTGCTGAATGTCTTTCGCGCAGTATAAACTCGATGATATATCTGTTTGGTTGTTATGGGGTTTTGATAGTGTCTCGGGGTGAAAACGAGCCAAGTGTTTAGCCCTGCGTCGGCGCGGGTTTGGATGAAATATGTTGCTTTCGTTTTGTTTTTTGTTTTGGCATTAACTGAATGCACTTGAGTTGGGCTTTTGCATTTTCTTCACTTTCCTTTCCTTTGGCAAAAAGAATACGCTGAGAAAAAAGGTAAATGCATCCGAACCGGTAAGAGAGACACACAAAACCCAGTGTGCGTGTGTGTGTATTCATATATGTAATATATTATATATATATATATATATATATATATATATATATAATATATATATATATATATATATATATATATTTATTGTATGGTTATATATATACATATATATATATATATATATATATATATATTATATATATATATATATATATATATATATATATATATATATATATATATATATATATATATATATATATATAATATATATATATATATATATATATATATATATATATATTAAATGTATATATGTGTGTGTATATATATATTTAAATGTATGTATGTATATATATGTGTATATATATATATATATATATATATATATATATATATATATATATATTATATATATATATATATATATATATATATATGTATATATATATATATATATATATATATATATAATATATATATGTATATATAATATATTATATATATATATTATATATATATATATATATATATATATATATTATAATACATATATATATATATATATATATATATATATATATATATATATACATATATATACATATATATATACACACACACACACACACACACACACATACACACACACACACACACATTATAATATATAATATATATATATATATATATATATATATATATATATATATGCAAATAAACATACAGTGCATCATATGTTTGTGTGTGTTCGTTCATGTTCTTATATTCGTTTAATGATGTTTTCGATAAACAATTATTTCCAATACCAATGGTAAAATTATATGATAGTAATAATAACATGTATCAGTGTTAATCGTCATGATTTTAATCATAAGCGTAGTAATGGTAATAATTATTATTATACTGATGGTGGTAATAAAAATTATTATTATATCAATCTCAGTACTAAGGATTAATATCATATTTTTTTTACATATTATTATTAACAGTAGTAGTAGTAGCAGTATTATTTTTACTATTATTACTATTATCATTGTTATTATTATTATCATAATTATATTATTATCATAATCATTATTATATTATTATTATTATTATTATTATTATATTATTATTATTATTATTATTATATATTATTATTATTATTATTTATTAAATTATTTATATTATATATATTATTATTATTATTATTATTATTATTATTATTATTATATATATTATTATTATTATTATTCATTATCATTATTATTATTAATTATTATTATCATTATTATTATTATTTATTATTGCCATATAAAAGAACTACATTGAAAAATTCGAGATTTACCCAGCCAAGGTGTCATCAGAGTCAGATTAAACAATTATACTCTTCATTATAATTATTACTGTTGTTTTTGTTAACAGTATTAGCATTATTATTATTATTATTATCATTATTATTATTTGTTGTTGTTATTGATATCATTATCATTATCATTAAAAAGGCCACAATTATCGTTATTACCATCATTGTCATCACAACATAATAATTAAAAACAACAGAATAGAGAAATAAGTAAGAATAAAGCAAGGAGGCGGAGGCAATAATAACAAGGATAATTTTAATAATAATATAATGTAATTCAGTGCGAATGGCATTTCAACATAACACAATTATTATTGTTACACGTTAAATATTCTCATTATTATGATGACAAAAATAATCAAAATTATTTTACATTTATTGGTATATGTTTGTAGTCTTATCATCATTTAAAAAAAATTAAGTGTTCGAGATGCTTTAGGGTATAATTTAATAATTTAATAATAATAATAAAATAATAATAATAATAATAATTATAATATATACATAATAATAATGATGATAATATATACATAATAATACTGCTACTACTAATAATAATAAAAATAATAATAGTGAGAATGCTCATGATGATGATAATAGTAGTGGTAGTTGTAATGATGATAATGATAATAATGAAAATATAATAAAATAGTAATAACAGTAGTAGCAAATATGATACCAATAATGAGGAAGGTGGTGGTGATGATAATAATAATGATAGTAGTAGTAGTAGTATAATTAGTACTGGTGGT